CCCTGCAGGCACCAGGGCCTCTCTTTGTTGGTGTCCAGGGCTCCTGGCCTCTCATGTTGCCCTTCCCCGGAAGCTGGTGGGCCTGGGAAGGTCAGCGGTTTCTTGCTAGGGTCCATCCCTCAGGCCACGCACTGGGTCCTCCTGGGAGCGAGGGTGGGAGGGGAGACATCTCGCCTGGATGTGGCCCCTCTCTGTGAGCCCCCAGCAGGGGCTGCTCCTTGGGGTGAACCCTCCATCCAGCTCACAGGCCCCCAGGCTGGGAAGTTTTAGGATGGACGAGCAGGAGTTCGGGGACAACACTGGAAGGTTCCCTAGGAGCCCAGGAGCTTCCTGTGGACTCTCCCAGCCTGTCTGTCCTGCTAAGCCCAAGGCCGGAGCTACCTCAGCATGCTCTGCTCCCTGCTGCTGGCCATGAGACAGGCAAGAGGGAGACAGCTCAGACTCGGTTGATAGATTGAACAGAATCAAACAACTAGGCCAGGCAGAACTCCTGAGGGGATTCACTGCGGAGGGCAGGAGGGGCCCAGCGAAGCAGAGGAATGGCCCCTTGTGTTCTGGGAGGAGTGGCGAGGTCAAATCCCAAATGGGAGAGGGCAGAAGGGGCTGGAGGACCCAAGGGCACAGGCTGGGGTGGCTGGAAGGCGGGGGCTGCAGGGAGTGTCTGGATTTGATCCTAAGAGGAGGGGAGCCCCTTGGCCTGGGGAGGGTCCAGTGAGGCTCCTTGAGCCACCCCAGGGCCCAGCACCCCGTGGGGCAGACAGCCTGGCGACAGGGACTGTCCTGGTCCTTCAGCTCATGACCAACTTCACATTCAGCTGCGGGTGGCAGGGTCCCACACTCAGATAAACACGCAGCCTGGGAGCCAATGCGTGGCCGGCTTGTTCTGACCAGCACTGGCTGAGCACTGCCTGGCGCATCACGAGGCCCCCAAAGCTGAGCACCCAGGGGCACAAACGTGCTTGTCGTGGCCTGGACCATCTGTCGCAGGCACCGAGATTAAGCAACGCCTTGGCTCAGCTGGGAAGAAAGCAAGCCAGGTGCGGAGGGAAGGGGCTTGAGAATCCCAGTGGAGAGCACAGGACCCAGCCAGTTCACCCAGCTGTCCCAGCATGGGGGCCACCTCTCCCCCACCTCTCCCCCATCCACCCTTGACTTGCATGGCAGCAGCTGCCTCTGGCCAGGCCTGTGTGGGTGCCGTGGGGAGTAGGAGGCACAGACCTGGATAGGTGATAGCCTCGGAGCGCCAGATTCTGCCTTTATAAGAAGACAGTGACTACGCTGGAACAGGAGTCTCAGCACAGCGCCGAGAGCCGAGGCTCCGAAAGCAGCAAAATGTGGTGCATAGTGGTGCACACCTGTGCTGGGAACCTGAGGCGGGAGGACTGAGGTTAGGGCTTGGTCTGGGTAACTTCACCACTCAGACCCTGTCAGTGCAAAGGCCCTGGCTTGGTTCAGTCTCAGGTCCCAAGGGCCGGGGATTTAGCCCAGTGGCACTGTGCCCACTTCATAAGCACAAGGTCCTGAGTTGGATCCCCGATACCCAAAAACAACAAAACAAATCAATCTCCAGTCCCGGAAAGAAGAAAGAGAAGGAGAAGAAGAGAGAAACAAAGAAAGATGAGCCAGGTGTTGTGACACACTTCTGTAACCCCAGTACTTGAGAGGCTGAGGCAGGAGGGTTGCTGTGAGTTCAAAGCCAGCCTGGGCTACACAGGGAAATCTTGTCTCAAAAAAAAAAAAAAATCAAAAGCCACAAAAAAAGAAAGAATGAAAAGAAAGAAAAGTAGAAAGGAAGCCAGGAGTCTGCTGAGGGCTCCCCGTGGCAGTGCCTGCAGCATACACCCTGTGAGGGAAGCACCACAGAGGCAGGGCAGAGGCAGGGGAGCCTCCAGACCCGCCTCAGGCAGGACCCCCAAAGCTGGCCTCAGCCCTCTCTTCCTGCAGACAGGAGACTGGAGACCCTCAGGAGGTTCCAGAGCAGCAGCTGCCTCAGGGTCTCGAGGCCCGCCTCACCCTCTGAGCTCCAGCCCCCTGGCTCCGAGCTCCAGGCTGTCTCTCAGAGTAGACCACCTAAGATAAGGGCCATGGTGCATTTTTTGGCCAAGCAGTGGACAGCAAGGCCAGGGGCTCTTCCTGCCCCGCTGGGTTTAGGACCCCAGGTAGAGCTCTCCTGGCTGTGGGTCCTTCTGGTGCCATGCAGTCCTGTCCTCTCAGAGGACGGAGCTAGGCCAGGACACCGGCGGCTGCCAGAATCAGCTTGTGCTGGCTCCTGGCTTCCACGCCATGGACCTAGAGAGAGGTTCTCACTGCTGCCCCCTGGAAGGACATGGGAATGTGGCCTCCCGTGTCCCAGGCCGGCCTCCACACCGGCTTTCTCCCAAACCCTCTTCCCACAGAGGCAAACATTCCCAGTCCTGAAGTCAGAGCCTTGGGGTAGGCCTCAGTGCTAGTAGGTGCTGGGGCGCTGGCCACAGCAGCAAGTATCAAGGGCTCTGCTCCGGCAGCCTTGCATAGGCAGAGCACCCACTTGGAGCCTTGAGCACGAGAAGCTTCGGCACAGGACCTGCCCAGGGGCCTGTTGTCACTTGTGACTGCGGGGAGAGGAGCACTCTGTGTCCCCAGCACAGCTCCATAGAGCCTCTGGAGGCTGCGTTCTCAGGGCTGAGTCAGACGCCCATGCCCTGCACCGACCCCACAGCTGCAGGCATGTGGAGTCATGACACAGGCTGGCTCAGCGAAGGGACCCTATCCTAGGGCTGCAGCACGATCGGCCAGACCCTTCCCTAAGGCCAGGAGTGCCCTTTCCCCACCAGGACTGCCACTCACCGCTGCCCCACAGGCCCCTGTCACGCTGGGGCAGGGAGGCTCCAGAACTTGGGGTGACCTGCAGCAAGGTGGCAGAGCCCCGTAGGGTGGAGGACAGGCTGCTTCTACTCGCCCTCTCCTGGTCCCCACCCCAGCCAGGACATCCCTTCCCTGTGGGTTCGGGACAGAACACTTGGGCCCTGAGTTGTCCAGGAAGGGGGCCACCTCAGGGACTTGTGCCCCAACGTGTCAGGGAGACACACTCTTCACTACTCAGTGCTTCCGATGGACTGTCCTTCTGACTGAAGTCCCCATCTGGAAAGAGGAAAGGGCTGGATCGCCCTCGAGTCAGAGGGAGAAGACGGGAACAGCCACTCGCTGACCCTGGTGAGGACTCAGAGGCCGACCTGGTCAGCAGGGGCTGTGGGTGGCCAGAGATGCCAGCCCACCGCCCCCACCTTTCTCCTGCCCCCTCCCCAGCGCAGGCCCAGAGTGGCTGCCTCACCAGCCCTGGTGCCACTGTCCTCTGCCCACTTCACCCACCCCTGCGGCGGCCAGTTGCTTGGGCAGCTGTCTGCGGGTGAGCAGCCGGCGATTAACCCTCTGGGCGCCGGCCACAGCTGACTCAGCGCATTCTCAGGCAGCCGCCCCTCCTCCTGCCTGGCCAGGGCCCTGGGATGGCAGAGGGCTGGCCTGGCCTGGCCGCAAGGGGGCTCAGCAGGCTGTTGACCCAACCTCAGGAGCCTTGCCAGGCTGGGGAGAGGGGGCATCTCAGCCTTTGTCCCCCAGGCTGTCAGGACCCCAGCTATGGAGGGCGGCGGGGCCAGAGCATATTCCCTTGTGCACGGTGGGGGAGGGCCTCTGGGCAGTAGGGAGGGCAGGGGACCGGCTACTGCCCTAGCTGTCCCTGGCTCCGATCCTAAATCAGCTCGGGGACTGCGAGATCCCGGCGTCTCCCACCCACCTTCAGGCCGCCCCTCCCTCAGGTGGGAGACTCAACCCTGAAGTCAGGAATTTCGGGGGAGGAACCTGGAAGCGGGAAGGAGGGCGGCTCATCCTTACAGCTGGTTTCCCCGCTCGGGAAGAAAGCCGCCCAGCGCCTTAGGGTTTGAGGTTTGCGGGCTACCAGGAAGACGTCCCGGTAGTCTTTACCAGCTGTCTCCTGACTGCTGCGGGCTCAGGACCCCAGGACCCGCCGCCGGACTGTCCAGGAAGCCCCTCGAGATGGGAGCCCCACGGCTCACGTGGGGCCGGGGCCCAGCTGGCCGGGCTCAGAGGCTCCGGGAGCTGCCAGCCCGGCAGCTGCGGCCCCACCCCCGCGCCCCGGGGCTTCCCTCCAGGCCGGTTTGGCCGGGAGCACTGAGGGAGGAGACCCAGTGGCCCGAGTCGCCCGGAGCGGCAGTGGGGGGCAGTCCCGAGCCGGGCGCTAGCCCCTGCGCTATGCCCAGGGTGCGGGCGCCTCTGCGTGCCGGGCGTGGCCCTAGCAGGGGTCCAGGCCTCAGGTGCTCGGGGACACAGGGGCACTAAGTCTGTGTAAGGAGAGCCCGGCCCTCCTTCCCAGGAGCCGGTCAGTCCGGCAGCCCTGCAGCCATGAGCACCCCAGGGGACAGTAGGGGGCATCAGGCCCTCCTCTGTGTCCCCATTTGAGGGTAGAGTATTTATTTTAAAGCTCACCTGGGGCAGGCAGGAGCCAGGGGGATGAATCCGACCTGGCCCCCTAGGAAGTATGGGGTCCCTACATGGGCTTTCTCTGTCCCTCTGCCATGGGGTTCCCTCCAGGGCTCCCCTCAACCGGCTCACGGAGCTGGCAGAATGCACTTTTCCCCACCCCACGATGCGGCGACTTGGAGGAGGGACAGGCCGCGGGCCACGGAAGGTGTATGAAGTTGGGGAAACAAAGCGGGGACCCGCGGGGCCGGGAGGAGTGCGAGGGTCTCACGAGGGGCCCCGAGCCACGACCCGGGGGAGCGGGAGGCGCAGCGGCATCGAGTTCCCACGCCTGGCCCAGGGCCAGCAGGTGCCCCTTCCGGGAGGCCGCGGCCGGGGTCTGAAGAGTTAAGGCCCCCGGCGCCCCTCCCCCGCCCCTCCCGGGGAGCGGGCGCCTGGCGGGCCTGGGCGGGGCCTGACGTCCGCGGGCGGGGCGAGCCGTGCTCTGAACCCCGCTCCCGCGGCGCTCGCAGTCCCTGGAACGCGGAGACGCGGCCGGGACAGGAAGATGGCGAAGCGCGACGACCCGCTCCGCGCCCAGAGCGCACGGGGCCCCCGCGGCCCGGCGCCGCTGCTGCTGGCCGGTCTGGCGCTGCTGGGCGCGGCGCGGGCGCGGGCCCCGGAGGACGGCGGCTTCAGCTTGCACCCCCCGTACTTCAACCTGGCCGAGGGCGCTCGCATCGCCGCGTCCGCGACCTGCGGCGAGGAGGCCCCGGCGCACGGGCCCCCACGCCCCACCGAGGACCTGTACTGCAAGCTGGTGGGCGGCCCCGTGGCCGGCGGAGACCCCAACCAGACCATACAGGTGAGCGCGGCCCGGCGCCAGGGACCGGTCGGGCTCGCGCCCCGAACTCATCCCGCCTCCTCGAGGAGCCCGCGGCCCGGCAGAGCCCCGGTACCAACTCTCGCGTCCGAACTCCGGGTTCCGCCTCTCGGGGCTCCAGGAGGGACCCAACCCGGCCCTCAGTCCCGGCGGGAACACCGCGTCCTCCTGAAGCGTCCCCTCCGCGGACCCGCGGTCGGCAGGCGCCGGCCCAGTTCGGTGGCGATGACCGGGCGGGAAAGGGGCTGCTGCCCGGTCCTGGCAGCCCCAGGTCCGGGATCCCGGCGAGGGCGGGGCTTGGCGTGGGCGCTGGCGGCCTGGGAGGAGGGGGCGGGCGGCTCCGCCTTCCCCCGGGACGGGCTGGAACCTGCTGGTCTCCGGGTGGGAACGGGATGGAGGCGGGAGGGGCCAGGCGGCGCTCCAGGGGTTGGCGCTCTCCCTGCCGGCAGCCTAGGGTTGAAGCGCCCGACTGGGGTCTGGGAGCTCGGCGGGACCCTCGGAGTGGAGGAAAGCAAGCAGCCCGGGTTTTAACTGGGGCTGGGCACATCGCGGGATCGGGCCGCTCTCTGACTAGCAGGGCTTCAGGCTCCGCGGAGAGATGTGGACGAGTCGGGCCCTGTACCTTCTGGAGGCGTGTCCTCCAAGATGGGAGCCTGCAGGTGGGTTTAGTAAGGTGGCCCCTGCAGTTGGACCCCTGGCCTGGAAAGCAAGCCTGTCGAGAGCCTCAGGATTGAGTTGGGGCTGGGGTCAGCCTTGGGGCCCCAAGTCTGCTCCAGGGGCTCCTCAGCAGCCAACCCTGAGCCTCACTCCTAACTCCTGCCCACCAGATTCTGGAGGCCCCAGGGGCTGGTGTAACCCGAGCCGCCTCCTGGGACCTGCCTCCACTTTCTGGGACCCAGAGCCTAGGAAGGGGAGTAGCTGAGAATGGCTTGGCTGATTCAGGAGGAGCGTCCCGGAGCCAGGAAGTTGGAGATGAATGAGGGAGCCTGAGCTGGGTCCCTTTTTGCATTCCCACCACTCCACCCACCCCACCCTTGGGCCTCCAGTGAGGAGAGGAGGAAGGAGCCGTGCTTCGAATCGGTGCATTCTCCCCAAGCCTAGCACAGTCCCCGGTGATAGGGGGTGGCAAGCCCACACTTCCCATAGGGAAACTGAGGCTGGGAAAAGTTCAGACACTCGCTTGGAGTCCCACAGCCAGAACAGAGCCCAGCTGGACTAAGTGGTCGGAAGCTGATGTCTCCGGGCTGGGACCTCCCTCCCGCCTGGCTGGTTGGGAGTTCGCCACTTTAGCGAGGGAGACCCCAGTCCGCTTCCAGACCCCGGACCAGCCTTCCCCAATGCCGCTGGTGCTGCCTGCCTTCAGAAGACAGGTCCTCTGGGAGCGCTTCCTGCTTAGGTCTCTTCCCTTGTGGCTGCAGCATGGGAGCCTCATGGCCTGGGCTCAGAGCCCTTCTCCTCTGCCTCTCCCAAGCTGGGTGGCTCCCCTTTCCGAGCCTCAATTCCTTATTTGTGGAAACAAACAAATAATTAAATAAATAAATAATGGAGGGCACCTGCTCGGGTTCCTGCTCGGTGTGTGTGTTCCTGAGGGGGAACTAGAACCTTTTCTCTAACTCTCCAGACCGTCTCTGTTGCCGGGTGAGGGCTGAGCATGTGCTTTTTGGGTTTCTGGAGACTAGAGCTCACCCTTGACCCTCAACCCTAGACCCTGTACCCAGCCTCCCTGGGACTTGCCTAGCAGGCAGCCTGACCCCCCAGTGGAGCTGGCACATGAGGGTGGGGTTGCCGGTGAGCCCTGGGCCCCTGCTCTGCTCACGCCCTGCCAGGGAGCCCTGGATTCTGGTCTGGTGGTCAGCACGTAAGCCTGGTGGTGTACCCACAGAGGGCCTCGGCTGCTCTAGCCCCTCTGCCTGGGGGCTGTGGGCGGTGCACTGGGGCACCAGAGGCAGCAGACCCCCTGGATCCACGGGCCTGGCATTTGGATAGCCCCATCCAGGCCTTGCCTTGCCTGGTGGGCTTCCTGCCTGCTGCTCTCTCCGTCTCCATTTAATGTCACCTCCTCAGCAGGGCCTCTGCTCCAGGCCACCCAGGATGCTGACTGCACCCGCCAGGTGACACCCCGATTTATTTATTCCACCACGAAAATGATCTGGCTGTTCACGAGGGTGCATTTACTCCACCCTGCAGGGGCCCTCGGGCTCTGTCCTGGCAGGGGCAGGACCACATCTGCCTTGCTCTTAGCTGTGTCCCCAACCCATCCCCCACACAAAAGTTAGGGCAGCTGCCTGGGCCATACTGCCCTGGGGGGCCAGGGGAGGCCTGGGGTGGGGGCTCCTCCAGGGTGAGGTCCCCCACCAGTCTGGACGGGTGGGGCAGCCTTGGTTCCCAGACCGGGCCTCAGTCAGTGCCAAGTCTCCAGGGCTGCCTTTGCATGCGGAGGGACAGAAGGTCTGGTTTCCTGGGCGGGGGTGGGGAGGGGCGGACAGTTGGTGGGCTGGCAGCCAGGGTCCTCCCCTCCCCCAGCAGGGACCGCAGGCCAGGACCCGCTGGAGCTTCCTCTGTCCCCATGCGGTGTCCGGTCTGCGGTAGAAACAGCTGCCAGGCCCTGTGTGACCTGTTAACCCTGCCGGTGGCTTGAGGCAGGTGCAGCGTTATCCCCACTCTGCAGATGGGGACACTGAGTCTCCGAGGTTGCTGAGACTTGGACGCCCCAGGGCTGGGAAGCTGGGCGGGGAAGAGGCAGTCAGGCAGCCCAGGCCTCACCTGCCACACCCACACGCTGTGCCCTGGGGCCTATCCCGAAGGCTGCCCTACAGCCTAACCATTTCTCTGGAGAGAGGCCTTGATCCCTAGGGCCCTGGGCCGAGCCTGGGGCGGGATGTGTGTGTGTGGGGGCGGGTAGATTGGAGGGGGAGGGAGGACCTCTGAGTCACTGAGCTCTCCTGGCCCTCAGGATCCCTCCTCTCCAGACTATCTTTCTATCTGTGACTCCACCTTCTTCATCCTTTCTGCCTCCCGTCTTGCTCTGTGTGAGCCCTTCCAGAGCCCCTGTGGCTCTATCTGCCTTGCCACAGGGCCTTTGCACTGGCAGCATCTCTTCCTGGAGCATAATTCCCCTTGCCCTGAAGGTCACACCACTTCCTCAGAGAGGCAGGCCTTGATTTTTCCCACCTAAATCAGAATCTCTTCTTTCCCCCAAATCATTCTGCCAGGCATGTGGCCTGTCTCCTGTGAGCCACGTCCCCTGAATCAAGGCAGTAGGAGAGAAACACATGTAGGCCATGAGGTCAGAGGTGGAGGCCAGCATGAAGGGACCCCGGGCCGTAGGTGGTGGTGGGGAGACTCCGGGGGGCGGGCAGGTCCCCAGCCCTTCCTGGCCATCTGACCGTCCCCTTCTCCTTGTAGGGCCAGTACTGCGACATCTGCACAGCCTCCAGCAGCAACAAGGCACACCCCGTGAGCAACGCCATCGATGGCACGGAGCGCTGGTGGCAGAGCCCACCACTGTCCCGGGGCCTGGAATACAATGAGGTCAACGTCACCCTGGACCTGGGCCAGGTAGGGGTCCCTTTCGCTCTGGTGGAGAGGCAGGGCAGGGGAGGGTGCTGGCTGCTCAGCAGGAAGGGAGTCCTTCCAGCCAGAGCCCCAGGCCTGTTCTTCTGCCCAGTGTTTACTCTGAGGAATTCCTGGCCGGTGTGGGAGGGGCTGCAGGAATGCAGAGCAGGCCGGTGGAAGTGGGCATTCCTGGGATACCTGTGTTTGGGGTTGGTCTCTTGCTTAGGGGCTAGGTGCAGCTCAGGCCCGCCAGCTCTGGGCCATCCATCCCTGTGCAAACAGTGGGGCCAGGCATTTTCCGGTGACAGGCAAGCTGACTCCTCTCCTGGGCTAGGTCAGACTCACACTGCTGGGTCCCACTCCTTGAAGCTTTGCCCAGATGCTCAGCTTCGTGCTCCCGGCCTGTTAAATGGGCCAGCAGTAGCGTTGCCCTCTGGGAGCAGGACTGGGGAGGCAGGTACATGAGACTGCGCCTGGAATCACACAGCCCGCAGCCCTGCCTTGCCAGCCCCTACCTACCAGCCTGGAGGCCTGTGTCCAGGCCTGCTCTGCCGAGCAGTGGGTCTGTCCCTTTCTGAACCTCTGTCCCCTCTGTCCCAAGGTGGTGGGGGAGAGGTGGTGGAGGTCTCACAGCCTGGCAAGAAGGACAGGCCCCACCTGGCAGCCTGCAGGCCTGGGCCAAGGGATAGGCGGTCAGGGGAGTCGGCTGAGGCTGAGCAAGTGCCCTGGCATTTCCTGAAGGCCCTGGTCCTGGTGCCCATGCAGCTGCAGCGGGGAAGGGAGGAGGGGGCTGCACACTAGGGCTCTCTGCCCCCTGCCTGGCCTGCTCCAGGTCTGGGTGGGCCTGGCTCAAGTTCATCTCACTGGTTTACACCATCAGGACTCCTGTCCCTTAGAGCACCGAGGCAACCTAGGGGACCCTCATCTCTGGCACAGCAGTGGGGTCACTCGTGGGAGGATATATGCGTGGGCGGGCAAGGACCTGGTTTCTGCGGCAGCAGAGCGGGCAGCACCATGCAGGTAGTGCTGTGGGTGAGGTTGACGGAGAACGTTCTGCTGCCTCCTGGTCCAGGCCCTCTCTGTGCCTCGGCCTCTTTTGTAGGGATTTATCTCAGAGCTGAGACAGACTACCCAACACCTGCAGGTTGCGTGGGGACATGGCCTCAGGACGGACAGACCCACTGCACAGCAGAGCAGGCCAGGACACAGGGTCACGTCTTTAGAAGTTCTGGCCCTTGCATGTCGGCAGCGTGGTGGAAGGACTAGGGCAGAGGCAGGCCGCTCTCTGGCGTCATGGCGGCCAGGAAGCAGGGTGAAGGGAGGGACCAGGGCGGGAGCTGCATCCTTCCAGGCCATGCCCCACTGCCTAGCCCCTCCCTTCATAACTCACCTCCTGACAGCAAGACAAACATGACACCTACAATCAGGTGGTCTCCGAAAGCGAAAGCGCCACCTGAGTGCATGAGGCTCTTGGGGGCATCTAGATAGAAACCCTGTCTCCAGTCTATAAATTGGGCCTGCCTTTAGCTGATGCTGAGTCAGGAGAGGGGATTTCACCAAGTAGACATCCGGTTTGGCCCTGCCCGGTCCACCAGCTGTACCATGACACGCTGGGGAGGAGGCCCCTCGCCCTCCCTGCCTCTTTCCTTCCTCCCTCTCCCTCCCTCCATCCACTCTTGACTGTCTGCGTGGGGCCATCCACGGAGGCCCCTGCCTCAGCTGGCCGAGGGGCTGCCCCTGGTGAACACTGGGGCTCGGTGGGGCAGGCGAACCCGATTCCGGCAACATCTTCCTGGGGTTCTGTGCCGAGGTGCTGGGCCTGGGCCTGGGCTGGGCTCATCGGGAAGCGGGCCTGGGCTGGGCCAGCTGCCTTTGTTCTGGGATTGGAGCGGATGCCCTAGGAAGGGGGTGGGGGCAGCTGGCACCAGCCCGGAGGGCTTCCTGTGAGGGGCCGCCTGGGAATGGTGGTCTGAGCCGCCTGGGCTCTGTGTCTCACGCATGGGTGGGGGGTGCCCAGCCTGTGGCTTCTCTGCGGGCGTAGCTTGGGGCAGCCAGGGCCCGTGGACAGGACACTGGGGAGGGCCTGGGCCTGGGCCTTCAGGATTCCTTCTGCAGGGGAGGGGCGCCAGGAAGAGGCTCCCTGCTGGTGGCTGGTGACTCAGGGAGCAGTTTCCTGCGTCCCCCCTGACCTGTTTAGAGGTCAGAGGGGGGTTCTTTTTTTTATGGTATTGGGGATCGAACTCAGGACCTTCTGCTTTCGAGGCAGGTGCCAGAACTACTGAGCTAAACCCCAGCCCAAAGAGGGGGGTTCTTGTGTATCTCCATGTGTCCTCTGGAAGCTTAGGGCCTGCGTGGTCAGATTGCTGGCCCTGGCTTCCCCTTCCAGAACTGCATGAAGGCCCTGCCCTCAGGAACAAGAGTGCTCCAGATGCCAGGTGCAGGCCACATTTGGGGTCCTGGCGGAGTGCCCTGCCCTGAGCGCTACCCCGCCCCAGCATGCTGGCCCAGTAGACCTAGGTCTTCAGGTGTGGTGGGCTGAGCTGCGCTGGCTCTAGCCCTTGCGCCCCTGCCTCTCTCAGCACCCTGGGCAGCCTCCTCTCCTTTTCCTCAGGTTGGGCTGAGTAGGAAGTGTCAGGAGTGCCCACCCCCTTCCTGGCAGGGAGGCCCCTGGCTTTGTTCTCTCTTGCATGCCGGTGGCTCAGGTGAAACAGTGGCTTTGTCCCAGCCCCATAGTCCCAGAGCTGCAGGACTGGAGGAGCTGGGGCTGGTACAAAGCACTGGGTGTGCAGAGCGGATAGGGGCTGGCCTTGGGCTGTGGGCTGGGTGGTTGAGGGCTGGCAGTGCCTGGCTGAGGGGCTGTGTCCCCAGGACAGAGGAGCCACGGGCAGGAGGAGGTGGATCTCTCCACCAGGTGGGGTGCCAAGGAGGCGCAGCTGTGGTGAAGCTACTGACCCCTGGATGGTGAGAGTCCTCCCTGGGCACTCGGGATAACTGAGGCAGAGGTTTATAAGGGATAGTGCCAGGGTGGGGGAGCAGACCCCAGTGCTGGAGTCTGAAGGAAATACTGGGGCTGGCTTTCCCGAAGCCACGCCTCCTGGGCTCAGTTTTCTCCAGGAAATGAGAATGCAGCCTGGGGGATTGGTGGGCACACTAGCTGCCGGCCCCGCAGGCCTGCGCTGTCCTCCCTGGGAGGCCCCCTGGTCCAGGCTGCTGGTGGTGTGGCAGTTATGTGGCTGAGGCCAATGGCACGGCTTCCTGGGCCCGGCTGGGCACTCAGCCGTGTGGCCAGAGCCCTGAGGTGGTCAGCAGGGTTGTCCAGGGAAGTGACAGGAAGTGTAGCCGTGGCTGGGCTTGGTTACAGCCGTGGTCAGGACAGGTGCAGAGCTGGGCCGGTCCCATCCCTGCCCTCTGGGCTCCCTGTGGGGGATGGAGTAGAGCTTCCTGATGGCATCCCTGGGTAGCTCCTCCCTCCACAGGGGAGATGGCAGTCCCCTCCCTCTGCCTGTCCCGCACTCTACCGGTCCAGTGCCAGAGGAAGAGTCAGACTGGGGGCTGCCAGTGCCTGGGGCCCTTCTTGTCTGGCCTGTGTCTCTCGCTGCTGCCACCCTGTCCATGGCTGCCAAAGGCAGCTGTCCTTGCCATGCTGGTCAGATCGCTCACTCTGCACATGCAGATGCCCCGTCACCCTGCCTGGACCCCAGGCTCTGGCAGCCCCAAAGGCTTGCTTGTGTTATTAAACAACCTCCCTTGCACCGGCCTCTCACTATACTGCTCATACAGACTAAACTGTTTGGGTTTCGGCTCTGGGGTTCCCTTGAAATAAACTCCACTTCCTGTGGCTTCCCCTAAGCTGACCATCTGGCCTGGTCCGGCTGCATGGTGGAGAGGGGCTGGGAGCCTGGGCGTGGCTGGCGTGTTTGGGGTCACTGAGTCCATCTACTCTGGGCGCAGCCTTGTTGCCGTGCAGGGGTTTCTTGGATATTTGCCTGCCTGGGACCCCAGCATGCTCCCTCCAGCAGTTGAGCTCCTGTCCCTGCCCAGTCTCCCCACCCTCCTCTGGACACCTGTGGGTCGGGCACCCCAGCAGAGTTGGAGCTCCTGGGCTGGCCTCCATGTCCACTCAGTGGATTCTCCGTTTTTGTTTTTATTCCTCGGTGATGGGCTTGCTGGGTGGCTCCTCAGCTTTTCCACTCCCCCATTGCTTGGGATGGGGTCCACACGTGGCCCACGTTCCACCTCTCGGGTTGGCTGTGGAGATGGCCATGCTTATTTATTTACCCAATTGGGGCTCTGAGTGGACACCCCACCCTGGCCTGGCCTCCCTGCTCCCTGTGGTGTTACCAGGTTTTCACGTGGGGTCTCTGCTGAGGGAGGACAGGGATGGGGAGTCACGCAGACTGGAGGCTGGATCAGGTGGACCCCCACTCCAGGGCTGGCCTGGACATCTGGAGAGGGTGGAGGTGGGCTCAAGAGGTCCAGGTGCCCTAGAGCTGCATGTGAGGGGAGCAGGCAGGGCGCTAACCTAGACCCCTGCCGCTAGGAGGGACTTCCTGCCTGCACCCAGCCCTGCGCGGGACCCTGGCCTGTGTACCTGAACTGGCACAGGGCCATCTTCCTGCGGACCAGGCTGAGTCACAGACCACCTGCTGAGTCACATAGCGGGGGAGCGGGGCGGGACCCCTTGGCCCTGGATGTGCGCTGTGGCTGGCGCCTGTGCCCTGCCTCAGCCTCCAAGCCTGCAGATGGGCCAGGGCAGAGCTGGGCAGTGGGCACAGGGTGGAGGCCTGCTCCCCTCCCCAGCGGTCCCAGCCTCAGCCTCCCCTTGGTGATGACATGACTGAGTCCTGGGGGCTGCTGGCCATCAGGGTCACCCTGGGTCCCCCATATGCCCAGGGTCTGCAGGCCCTGGCTCCCCTCCTCATGTGTGTGACCTAGGCCTGGCCCGGCACCTGCTCCCTGCTTGGCCTTCACAGCGCCCAAGTGTGGTGTAGCGGCCCTGCCGGGTGGTGCTGACTTCTGCTTGCCCTCCCCAGGGACAGGTGTTACCTCCTCCCGAGCCCTGTGAGCCTTTGCACCCGTGAAAGCTCCTTCCTCTGACCCTTGCTCTCTGTACCTCTCCCCTCTGCCGTGCCTCGGGAAGGGAAGTGGCTTCCCCAGGACCTCTCACTCCTGAAGTCTAGGGCCCACCCTGGACTCCTCCCCTGCCTGGCTCCTATGCACCTGGGACACTCACTGCCTTGTGGGGCAGGGCCAGGGGGCAGAACCCCTCCTGCAGGAGCCCTGGGCCTGAGATTGGGCCGAGCTGGGACAGGGGCACAGCGGCTGCTGGCCTGGAGACATGCCTGCCCCAAAATAGCCAGTTTTTAAAAATAACCAGCGGCTTTTGTTTGGCTTTTGCTTTAAAAGACATTTTCCCCCCTTCTACACAGAACTATGTAGCAGCGGAAAGGTCAGCCGGAGTTGGCAGCTGCATGGAGCAGGGCGAGGAGGGGGAAGGGCTCTGCCCAGAAGGCCAGGGGTCTGCGCCGCACCCGGGTTGTGCCAGGGGTGCACTGTGGCACTGGGAGCAGGGACCAGGCTGGGGCGGAGGGCAGTGCTGACGCGCAGCCTTCCCCGCCCTTCGGCGTCTATGCAGCTGTCAGGCCTTCGAGTCCAGCTGTCCAGGGCCTTGTCTGATGGACAGAGGCTCGAGCGGACAGTGAGCTGAAGGTCCCGGTCTCTGAGTGTGTCCCCCACGGGGGCAGTTTCCATCCCTCCTTGTCCTGCCCATCAACATTGACATCGCAGAGTCGATATTTGTGAAAGTGCCCTCAGCTGGGAAAAAGGCTTCCCAGCCAGTCAGGGAAGGACAGCGTGACCAGCAAGGCTGCAGCCTGGGCCACTGCTCAGGGAAAGGCGAGGGTGGGCTGCAGGGCTCGGCTGGGGCCTTTTAATCTCCTCAGAGCCCTTTCCAGGGGCTGGGCTGCTAGAGCAGCCCGAGGGTCCCCACATCCCGCTGCCCTGCTGTCCCAGTCCTCCTGAACCCCAGCAGTGAGCAGGGCTCGGGCGGCAGGACCAGCTGTGGGCCTGAGTGTGGGATCCTCTGGAGGCCGGAGCCCCTCCCCTGAGGGCGGGGCTGCTTCTGCTCCCCCCATGGCACTGGGAAGATGACCTCAGAGCCTGGCAGCCACTGAATAGGCCTGTACCCCCACCCAGGGGAGGCTGAGCTTGGCGTGGACCCTCAGGCCCTGCCACGCCTGGCCTTCCCAGTGCGGCAGCACCAGAACCTGTCTTGGGGTCCTGGGGCCTCGCCCCACCTGCTTCTAGGCATCTGTGCCTCCCAGGGCCAGAGCTGCGTGGGGTCCACGGTCCCACCTGGGGCACCAGGTAACCTCAGGCTCACTTGGGCTGAGATGGGGGTCCCCATAGGCCTCGTGCAGCCCTGGGGAACCCTTGCCCTGCTCCGTGGGGCCCTGGGCTGTGGGGCAGGCCTGGCCAACAGCATCGCCAGCTGGCACCCGCTGGGGCAGAAAATCCTCCGGAGCAGTGGTTGCCAGGAGTCGTCTGCCCCTGCACTGGTCAGACCAGGCCCTGCCCATGCGGCGGCGTCTCCTTGGTGCTGTGACGTGCACAGAGCAAAGCTCATCCCAGACAGTGGCCCTGACCCCCTGGGTCATTCCCTTTGCTCCAGCCAGGGCTGTGCACCTGGCCTCAGAACTTCCAGGCTGGTGGGAAGGCATGGCAACCACAGTTCCCTCTGCTCAACATGGGGGTAGGGGCTGCCTCGTCCGTGCCCTTGGCATAGGGGGATGAAGACCCTGGCCCCAGCTCAGGCCTGTGGTGGGTGGGGAGGAGCCGCCCTTGCCACCCAGGTGCCGGTGCTGGCCCAGCCTCCACAGGGAAGCAGCCTCTTCATGGGGCAAGTGACCTCGCCACGCCTGCAGCCTCCCTGGGGAAGGGGGTTCTGAGCACGGGTGACCTGAGGGTCCCCCAGCCTGCAGGCAGGGATGCCCAAGGTGGTCACACTGAATGGGTAGAGTGGGATTGTGGTGGTGAGGTCGAGGAAGGGCATCTCAGGCAGAGGAGGGGGAAGTGGGGCCAGGGGGACAGGGCCTGCAGAGGGCTCTTCTGTCCTGCCAAGGGGTCTTTTGTCTGTCCTGGAGGACGTCCAGGGCCAAGTGTGGCTGGATGGGCTCTGGTCAGGGAGCACTTCCCCAAGGAGGCGTCCAAAGTGCCTGCCCTGTGTGGGCTGGGCCAGAAGGGGCTGAGGAGCCTCACCAGAGCCTCACCGAGCCCTCAGGGCAGGTGTGTGGCTGTCCTCTGGCCAGGAAGACAGGAAAGAAGGCTGTGGCTCCTCCCTCAGGTCACCAGCGCAGGAGAAAGCAGGGTGAGGCTGTCTGGGCAGAGGCTTTGGGGTTCTGGCACCTCAGGAGGAGCAGCTTGTCCGGCCCTGGACTGGGGCCTGGCCTTGGCTGTCCAGGCCATGGCTAAGCTACAGCCCCAACTGCTGGCTGGTGGGTCCCCCTGCTGCATGCTGCTGTGCTCAGTTCTGGGAGGGCCAACTTCCCAGTAGGTCTCCCCTGAGGGATCCCCTAAGGCAGGGCTGGGCCACAGCTTCCTCTGTGCTGCTGTGCTCGGGGCCTCAGTGGCAGGTCAGCAGTGAAGATTCTGGAGCAGGTGACCAGGGTGAGAGCATTCACCTGTCCCATGTGCTAGGAGCTGGGGCCCTGAGGCTCTGATTGTCCGTCCGGGTGGACGTCAGGGCCTGGCAGACCTTGGATGGTACTTCTGTGTCTACCCTGGGCACTGCCTGGGACCTGCAGACAGGATGCTCCCCCAGGCCCCATCAGCAGCCACAGAGCGGGAGGGACCCAACTGGCCCCTGAGCACTTTGGGGAGGAGGCTGGGGATCTGGGCCTGGGCCAGGCCACCTCTAAGATCAGGGTACCGTTGTCCTCCACTGTCCCCAGTGCGACCCTGTGCTGTGGGCCGAGCTGGCCTTCCCCGGGCTCCTCAGCTGCTCACCTGCAGACCCACAGATGTCCTGTGCATGCTGTGGCCTCACACTGGGCGGGGTAGGCTGGCTGGCCCCGGCCACATGGAAGCGTCCCAGCGCCCTGCTTCCTTGCTGCCCCACCCGCAGGTCTTCCACGTGGCCTACGTGCTCATCAAGTTTGCCAACTCCCCTCGGCCAGACCTCTGGGTGCTAGAGCGCTCCACAGATTTCGGCCACACCTACCAGCCGTGGCAGTTCTTCGCCTGTGAGTGTGCAGCTGTGGGTCTTCTTGGGGTCCAGGTGCTGAGCCCCACCCTCATGCCTGGCTTGTCTGTGAGGCAGGACTGTCGATGCCAGCCTCCGGGAGGCCGGTGGGAGTGTGTTGGCTCATGCCCCCGATCCTGGGCACGACTGGCGCAAGCACTGGTGCTGCCCGGAAGCTCTGGACCATGTCTTCGCTCCTCTGGACTGGCAGCATGATTGGGCAGCTCCCCTAGGACAAAGTGGCCCTGGCAGCTCTGGGCTACTTCCTGCCAGCTTAGCTGCCTGTCAGGGGAGCACCGGAGTCACTGCTCAGCCCTGGCCATGTTGGCAGGGTAGGGTTCTCCCCTCGAACAGGCCTGTCCTCATGATCCTGAGCCCTAGTGAGCAGCTGGCACTATCCCCAGGGAGGGGATGAGGGTGGTGGTCTCAGAGGAACACTTGCTCTTTGGTGTGTTCCAGGGAGGTCATGGCACCATGGGTGGGCTAGTGCAGCTTGTGCCAGTCCAGCCTCCCTGGGCATGGCCAGGGGCCAGGGCACCACCATCTGCCAGAATTCTGCTCTTTGGCAAACCAGTCCTGCGGGGCAATGCTGTGTTGGGGGTTACCCCATCCGGGGCATGGGGCTCCCATCTCAGTGGGGCCCAGGGTCCGTGGGGAGTCGGGTGGCCCCTTCCTCATCCCCCAGCATGTTTCCACAGCCTCCAAGAGGGATTGCCTGGAGCGATTCGGGGCTGGGACGCTGGAGCGGATCACGCAGGATGATGATGTCATTTGCACCACCGAGTACTCCCGCATCGTGCCCCTGGAGAACGGCGAGGTGAGCCCGGGTGGGGTGGCGCAGCGCGCAGAGGGTTTTGCTGAGGCGCTGGGTCCGCTGTTGGCAGTGGCTGGGTGCTGGTAGCCACGCTGGCTGCTGGCCACCCAGCCTCACCTGCCATGCCACCCGTAGATCGTGGTGTCCTTGGTGAACGGGCGCCCTGGAGCCATGAACTTCTCCTATTCACCACTGCTCCGAGACTTCACCAAAGCCACCAACATCCGGCTGCGTTTTCTGCGCACCAACACGCTGCTGGGCCACCTCATGGGCAAGGCACTGAGAGACCCCACCGTCACCCGCCGGGTGAGCCTCCCAGGCAGCCCCAGGTCCAGGCTGGGAGGGGTCAGTGGAGCGGGGGGGGGGGGTCCCTGGCCAGCCCCAGGGCAGAGGAGGCGTCAGGGCCCGCAGTCAGGTGACACGGCCCGGGTTGCAGTACTACTACAGCATCAAAGACGTCAGCATTGGTGGACGCTGTGTGTGCCATGGCCACGCGGATGTCTGCGATGCCAAAGACCCCTCGGACCCTTTCAGGTGAGATGTGCGCTCCCTGCCAGTCCTAGCTGTCCCCCAGCCTGATGGGAGTAAGAGACTCCTTCTGTTGGGCCCTGGCTCCATGTGGGACCTGTACCAAACGCCCCTCTGTGGCCTGTCTGCACAGTGACGTGGAGCAGCCAGGCTGTGTAAGCCTCCCTAGGCTGCCTTGTCTTGGGTGGGGAGGTGGGCTTCCCTTCCCGGGCCCAGACCCATGGAGGGGAGTCAGCAGAGGAGGCCGTCAAACCTGGCCTGTGCTGGGCATGGTGGCACACACCTGTAATCCCAGCACTCTGGAGGCGGGAGGATGCCGTGAGTTTGAGGCCAGCGTGGGTTCAAGGCCAGCCTGAGCATAGCGAGACCTGTCTCAAACAAACACAAACCCTGGGCTGCATACCTGTGTCCCCCAGATGGACAGGTGCCCTCTGCTTGCTCCGACAGCCCTTGTGCGCTCTGGGAGTGCTCTCTCCCAGCTCCTCGACCTTTCACCCTGACAGACACAACCAAGCAGGCATCAAGTCCGGCTCGGGGGACAGCCGGCAACCCCCATCTAATGCAGCCCATGCTCATTCAGCCAAGGGCTCAGCCTTCTAGGCTCCCATCGCGGCTCTGGCCCTGGCCCTCTCCACAGTAGCATGGCTTGTTCCTGGGGCCCACCCAGGGCCAGCCGATGGTGTCAGGTGGTTTGTACCTGAGGCCAGATCCCTGGGTGGCCTCACCGAAATGGCCAGCTGGAGCCTGGTGTTGGGCTGGCGGACTGGACTCCCAGCGGTCTTCAATCTGTCTGGGAGCAGCCCCGGGGCACATCAGGTCCTTCCTTCTTCCCTTCTGCCAGCAGCTACATGTGAGGCCCTGTCCCTGGCATCGGGACACCTGTTCTGGGGCGATGGCCAGTGTACCTGTGAGGCGTGGGAGGAGGATGTGCCAGGGACAGGGGTGGGTGAGGCTGCACAGCAGGGCACAGGCTCAGAGTCACCTTGCAGTCCCTTGGGCTTGCACTCGGATGCACTTGGATGTAGGGCCTGCTATGGGCCCCTGCTGAGCTCTTACAACACTGCCCACACTCCAGAGAAGGAGGCAGGTGAGGCCGGGCCAGGACGGAAGCTCGGCCCCACTGGGTGGAGCCTCTGGCAGAAGTGGGTGGTGGCCTTTAAGGAGGGTGGCACCGGCACCCCATCCAGGGACCCAGTGGGCTGCTTCTCTGGAGCCCTGGGCCTGGGGACGCAACCTGGGAGCAGGTCCAGCCAGTGCAGCTCCAGGCACCACTCCGTTGCCCTGGGAAATTAAGTGCCCAGTGGGAACAAAGCTCCAGATGCTGGGAGCGAGCCAGCCAGACAGCCAGGTTGGCCTTGGTGGAGCCAAGGATCTGGAGGCCTGGGGGCCGGGCCTGCTCTCACCTGCCAGGGAGAGGCTTTGGCATCACCTTGACTCACCATGTTCGCCCAGGCAAGCGCTGAGCCCAGCCCCCCAAAGGGCGGGAGAGCAGTACAGCTGGGCATCTCTCCCAGAACCGCAGACCCCGACAGAACTTGTCACCATGGCCCCCACCATGTACTCGTGTCCCCAAACCAGTCTGCCACGCTGCCCTTGTGCCAGCCAGCGTCGCCTCTGCCACTCTGCCAGGAGGAACAGCTCCGTGCTCCCAGCTGGCTATCCTCTCTCTTTTTATTTTGAGACAGTCTTGCTGTGTGGTTCAGGCCGGCCTCGAACTCACAGAGGTCTTTCTGCCTCAGCCTCCCAAATGCTGAGATTTACAGGTGTGCGCCACCATGCCAAGCCAGCCCCTTTGCCTGCCCTCCCGCCATGTGTGTCACCCGCTGTCACTCCACCCATGGTCCTGCCTCCAACCTCGTCTGCACCCTTGCTCCCGCCTGGGTTACTGCCGCTGTGCTGTTTGCCTTCTCTCTGCTTCTCCCTCGGAGGTGGCATGTTTGGTTTCTGTTGCCGGCAGCCTTCTCTCCGGTTTCTTCTTGTCAGGTGGGAGCCCCTGCCTTTTCACAGGCCTGCCTGACGTAGCAGCTGCTCTGCTGCCTCCTTGAGCGGCACCTGGGCTCAAGTCCAGGGCCCCTGGCCGTGCGTTATTCCTGCCCAGGAGCGGCACGTTATTCCTCTGGAGTGCCAGCCAGCGACCCTCTCATGCCTGTTCTTCGTTCAAGGCCCCTCGCCTCTCACTGCCCCCAGCCCCGGGTTGAGTCCCGCCCTTGGCAGTTCTCGCCGTGACCGCCTCTCAGGCATAGTCTGAAATGGTTGTGTGACCTCACTCCGCGCCCCTGTGGAGTCGGGTGTAACTGACTGCAGTTCGTGGTGGGCGATGGGTCTCCGACGCTTTGGAGGGATCCTTTCATTGTCTCTTGGCATCTCCCCATGCTTGGCAGGGTCCACTGTTGCTCCGGTTGTTTATCTCCCTGTCTTCCTCTTCTGGATGGTTTTCTGAGCTGTTCTTTGTGCTCTGTTCTGCAGATCCACTCGGAAGTGCTGAGGATTAGATGTATTTCATGTTACTCGAGACTCTGCTCTTTGACCCTGCGTGTCTATGTCTTCGTTAATCGAGACCACGGCCTGCCTCCTCCCTTCTGCCTCCCCTCCTGCGACTCCCACTAGCCATAGGGACGTCTTACGGGTCCCTTGTCGCAGACCTCTCACATTTTCATCTCCTTCTGGACAGCTGCCCCAGAGCTCTGCCCACTTCACTGCTGTCGGCTGTGTCTGACCTCCACTCAGCTCAGCTGTCCACGGTGTCTCTTGTTTCATAATTACACTTTATTTCTAGAAGTTCCAACTGGTTCTTTTTCATATCTGCCCACTCTTTTCTCCCTGCTCCTTTCCTTCCTCCTCCCTCTTGTCTTTCCTTCTTTCTTTTTGTGGTGCTGGGGATGGGCCCCAGGGCCTCAAGCATGCTAGACCAGTGCTCCGCCACTGAGCTGCACCCTCAGCCCCCACCCATGTCTTTTCATAGCATTATGTCACCCCTTGTGCTTTGGGCTGCTTTGTTTGTAATCAGTTTGAACACGCCCTTACAGCTCCTTACAGGCTGCTCCATTAAACAGGGTTCTTGGGGTCTGGTGCTGTTCCCCGTGTGTCTGCTGCCTTCCGAATTATCTCCTCAAGGCTGTCCTTAGCAGGGCTTTATCTGCATGCTCTCCGTCTGCTCAGACTGGGGAGAAGACTTCCAGCATAGCTTTTGAGAGCTTTTACTGAATACCCCAGGGTACTGCCATCCCAGCATCCCTTACTAACTCCTCATGTTAGTTTTGGGGTCCTAGACCATGTAGATAATTGAGAAATGAACACCAGCTATGGGCCCTTGGCTTCCCACTCTCTGGGTTGGGGACAGGGCAGATGGGCTGGTTGTTGATCACCTCTGCTGTTGGGTAGTGTATTTCCTAGTTCCTCCTCTTCTGAGGATATGGCCTTTCCAGATGTTCCTGGACTCTGAGGGGAAACAGTGTTGACTCCTGAGGCCCAGAGGATGCTGGGGGTGCCAGGGCTGGAGTCGGGTTGTTTGAGACTCAGGCTGGCTCCTGGGGTCCTGCTCAGGAAATCTGCAGCCCAGCAGCCGGGAGCTGAGTGGAGTGGCCCAAGGTGTGGGGTACGCGCTCTGGCTTGGGTGTCCTTCTGAGAAGTGCATGGCTCAGTCCTCAGTCCTCAGCTCTGAACAGCTGTCCCCTTGCCTACGAGAACAGCAGGCAGGAGGCCAGCCCTTTGGCCTGGTGCCCACCCCATGCTGGAAGAGGAAGCAGTTCTTGGCCACTTGCCCTAGGGGTGCCCTGGACACGTGGGGGGTCTGCATTGCCTGCTGGATGAGGTCCCGGCCTCAGAGGGATCAGAGTGTCCCTTTCTCTAGGACCTGGCTGAGGGAGGCCTGGGCTTGGGCCCTGCTCCTGGTGGGAAGGACCAAGGCTCCAGGCCCCCTGCCCTGGCCACCGAGCCCAGCAACCCTCCCAGTCCTGCCCTCCACCAAGGCCCTACTCAGCCCTACCCCATTCCCCCTTTCACAGCTCTGCAGAGCTATGGGTAGGCAACGCTGGGGTCCAGGCAAGGGCTGCTGGGGAAACTGAGGACAGGGAACCGTGCACACATCCAGGCCAACAGTAGCCAGGGGCCCCACAGGGCCAGCCATGTGCCTTGGGGGAGGTCCCAGCCCTCTGCCCACGCCTCGCCCACAGGCTTCAGTGTGCCTGCCAGCACAACACATGCGGGGGCTCCTGTGACCACTGCTGCCCCGGCTTCAACCAACAGCCGTGGAAGCCGGCCACCACTGACAGTGCCAACGAGTGCCAGTGTGAGTCTCCCCATGCCTACACACGTGCCATGCTGTTGGCACCGTGGCTTATGGGATATGTCCTGGTGGGCGTGCTGACTGCTGTGTCCTCTCCTCTCCAGCCTGTAACTGCCACAGCCATGCCCATGACTGTTACTACGACCCTGAGGTGGACAGGCGCAACGCCAGCCGGAACCAGGACAGTGTGTACCAGGGTGGGGGCGTCTGCATCAACTGCCAGGTGGGCCGGGCGACAGGGAGGTGCGGGCTGGCTCCGAGGTGGGTGGGGCCGTGCCTGGACTCACAGCACCTGCGTTCACAGCATCACACCACTGGCATCAACTGTGAGCGCTGTCTACCTGGCTTCTACCGCTCCCCAGACCACCCTCTTGACTCCCCCGACGCCTGTCACCGTGAGTGGGCTTGGCCTGGGTGTGGTTGGGCCTTGGGGCCTGCATTGGGAAGGGGGCGTCCTGAGCTTCAGGGCCTGCCTAGGCAGGGGTTCCCAGGCCTCAGGGTGGGCAGCAGGCTCTTGAACCCCCAGGAGGCCTGGCCATTGTTCTCGGCCCCACTGCCCAATCACGGGAGGCGGGGGCTGCTCTACCTTGGAGCCAGCTCCCTGGGGCCTGCAGTGCTGGGCTTGGGGTCTCACGGATTCCCGGTCCAATCCCACCCAGGCTGCAACTGTGAGTCCAACTTCACCGATGGGACGTGTGAGGACCTGACTGGCCGCTGCTACTGCCGGCCAAACTTCACCGGGGAGCACTGCGACATGTGTGCTGAGGGCTTCACAGGCTTCCCGAATTGCTCCTGTGAGGCCCGGCTAGGAGTGTAGCGGAGCTCAGGACCCCTGTCTGCTGGGCCTGGGAGCCCTGCAGGGTGGGGGACTCGGGGAAGCTGGGCCTGGGGCCAGCACGTGGCTGAGTAGCTGTGGCTGACCTGTGCTCTCTCCTCAGCTGTGCTGTCCTCCCACAACGACACCGGGGAGCAGGTGCTGCCACCGGGGCACATTGTGAGTAAGTGTCCCTGAGGTCCCGGCACTCCTCCTTAATTGGGTCAGGGCTGGCCTCAGGACAGTCACCAGAAGGCCCCACAGAAAGGACGGATTTCACTTCAGTCGCTTTTGGGGGGCTCCATTTATTTTTCATGGAACTGATGCATAGTTGCATGGGAAAACCTTCCAAAAATAGGTGAGCATGAAGTCAGAGCAAAGCACAGCCTGCAGCGCACCACTCGCAGATGACCCCTCTCTCTGAACACCCTGTGGCCACTCGCACTTTGCTCTTGCGACAGTGGTGCAGTGTGCACTGCTGAGCGAGTCCATTTCCACAGGCTCAATGCTTCTCAGTCTCAGTTACACAGCCAGACACAGCACTTATTCAGCCAGCCCCTGATTGCTGGAAAGCTTGGCTGGCCTGCCTGCCTTCCTTCCTTCCTTCCTTCCTTCCTTCCTGTGTCTCACGATATAGCCCAGGCTGGCCTGCCTCAGCCTCCCAAGGGCTGGGACTTCAGGCGTGCAGCACTTCACCTGACTGTCCTCCTTTTTTTTTTTTGGTACCGGGGATTGAACTCTGGTCCTTAGCTTTCGAGGCAGGCGGTGGAACCACTGAGCTAAAGCCCCAGCCCTGTCCTCCTTTAACGATGCTGCGATGAACGTCCAAGTAGTGGAAACTGTGTGAAGTCTTGAAGGCGGCTCTGGGTCTCCAGATGTGCGTGTCGTGCAGGCCTTGGCCACAGGTTGCCAAGCTGCTCTCTGAGAACCAGCCTGCCAGTGTGTGGCGACATTGACTGTGGGTGCAGCTGCCTGCCAAGTCCTTGCTGTCCTCCCCAGCTGTCTTGTTCCTGTCGGCTTGGCTGGCAAAGCCTCCTCTGCCCCATTTAGACAGGTCCCCTTCTCAGTGTCTGAGGTAGGGCCTTACGTTGGCTTGTGTGGTGTCCCAGGCCTGGTCCATTTGTCAGGTTCGGGGATTGTCATCTTTCAGGTGGATTCTGGTGTGAATTGGCTCATGGGCCTCGCCTGTAGCATCTGGCTTTTTACTCATTTATTGGAACGGGCTCTTTCCCTAGTCACTGTATGAGCCATTTCAACAAGTTGTGTGGTTTTTTGCCCCCCTAGCCTGACATTTGTTTCATATTTTTCGTGCCAGATCCCCAAGGTTTTCAGTGACTGCCAATGCTGCTGTTGGCTTCTCTGACTTGGGTGCATTTGGACCCAAGCATTATACAGTGTGTCTGCTGGTTCTGGGTTGGTTTTCTTCCTTATGTTGAAGTGCTTAGATTTTCATCAATATTGTAAACCAAGAGTCAGCAAACTTTGCAAAGGGGCCAGGAGGTGAGTGCCTTAGACAGGGAAGTCCGCACCATCTCCAATGCTGCTTATCTCCGCCACCACCAACCACCTCGGAAGGAGGGGCCGGGCTGCCTTCCAGTGAAACTTTATTTACAAAAGCAGGCAGAGGAGCCTTTGCGCTGAAGTTTACCAGTCCCTGATGTAAACTATCGAAGTTCCTCCCCCTCGGGCCCCTGGTAAGCACTCAGTAATTACCTCTGGTGGGAAGGTATTGCACTTGTAATATCTTCACGGTATAATGAATTTTGTTAAGGTCTCTCCTCATATGAACCCCATTTTCTTTCTTGTGTCTCCATTCACAAGTGCATCTGGCTTGGGAATGTTACGTTTTGCTTGTGGGCTACCTTGTACTTGGGAAATAGTCCACGTTTTTCTGCACTGTGGATCAGTTTAAAAAGTCCCAAGAATTATCTGTTTGCTAAAAGTCAGAGCCAAGTGCAGCGTGTGTGCCTGTGGTTCCGGCTGCTCAGGAGGTGAGGAAGGCAGCAGGATGGTGTAAGCATGAGCGTTTGGGGCCAGCCTAGACAGAGTAGCAAGACTCCAGCTCTTAAACACCAACCAAAAAAAAATTAAAATTTGGTATAACTTCTAAAACCATCTTGTCCTGACACCTGTTTCCTCTGCATCTCCTTTTTTTTTTTGAACTTGGGACCTTGCGCTTCTGAGGCAGGCGGTGGAACCACTGAGCTGAATCCCTGGCCCTGTCCTGAAACCTGTTATTCAGCACGGATCTTACATTAAAGTTTTATTGCTTTTATGGTTATTGTATCTAAAAATTGGGTTTTTTTGGTGCCAGGGATCGAACTTGGGTCCTTGCGCTTGCAAGGCAGGCAGCACAACCACTGAGCTAAATCCGTGGCCCTAAATGATTATCCATTTACATGTTATTTCCTTCTGGAGTAATTGGTTTTTTTTTTTGGAACTGGGGATTGAACTTGGGACCCAACTTGGGACCTTCCACTTTCGAGGCAGGCAGGAGAACCACTGAGCTAAATCCTTGGCCCTAAAAGTTTTCTACCTCATTTTATCTCACTTCTTTTGCTCATTTATATTTTGTTAGCAAGCTGCCTGTTTCATTTGGGTGTTTAAAAGTATTGGTAGGCGGGCCGGGGATTTAGCTCAGTGGTTTCGCCACCTGCTGTGCAAGCGCAAGGACTCGAGTTCAATCCCTGGTACCAAAAATAAATAAATAAATAAATAAAAGTATTGGTAAAAAGTTATACACAGCATTCTACTATAATTTTAAAATTTCCTTTCATTCTCATTATTGTCAATTTTTTCCTCTTTTTTAATAGCAGAACATCTATTGGTGCATCTTAGACATGCATGATAACACTCAGCACTGGGAAGCTGCAGCTGTACACGATGCCTCCCACCTCTTCCCCTCCCCTCAGTCTCCTCTCCCCTCCCTATGTTTGAAAGCCTTGTTTCCATTTTTCCTTCTATTCTCACTTTTTTTCCTTGTCCCTTCCCCCTGTTGTTCTCCTTCCCATTTGAACATTTTCTTCCCATTTTCCTCTTTTCTCTGTTGATCTGATCGAACCAAGATTTGTACATTTATTGGCATTTTCAAAGTATAGCTTAAGCAGGAGCTCGGGGAGTGGGAGGCCCCAGTTTTCACCTCAAATGTGACAGCAGGGGTGTTGCAGAATTCCAAGAGACAGGAGAGACCAACTGGGAGTCAGGAGGATTGGTTTAAGGTGTATACCAGCCCAGCAGACTGTGTCCAAATGGCTGAGTGCTGAACAAAGAGAAGTTTTAGCTTTTGTACATTTTGTCGGAAGCAAGTGAGTTTACTGGAACAGGACAAGGGCAGACAGTTTTGTAACTTTGCCTTGAAAGAAGACAGTGTCTTATGAGTCATATGAGAACAGAGTGTCATAAACTTTGTTTACAGGACATAGTTGTCAATTTTGTCTGTACCAGAACAAGGAGTTACAGCTACGGGGAAGGGGGGCTGATCGGGGGTGGGGGGAACTGCCTTAGTCTGGGAAGGACTTGTTTTTCTTTAAGTCCTGCTTCATTCCCGTCTTTAATGCTCTCTATAACAAGTTTTAATAAAGAGCATCATCTTTATTATCATTATTATTATCGATTTCCTTGTCACAGGGGTGCTCAGTACAACCTACTGAGCAGAAGTACTTGGTTAGGGTCATCAGTCGAGGAGTGGTGTGCCTGCCTACCAGAGTCTCTATGGCCGACTGAATGTTTGACAAGTAGGGTAAGAGGCAAGGGAGAACTATAACAAAGAGGATAAGGAACTTATGTAGTCCTCGTGATTTTCTGTTGATCTTTAAGTTCGGCTGTGTGTGGACTGATCAGCTTCAGGAATGACCAGAGCAGGGCCGTTGTCTGGTGACTGGACCAGCTGCTTTGGGTGGTCTGGATCCTGCTGTCTGGTCTACTTGTCTTGAGTAGTTGTCTTTAGCTGGCTGTGTAGATCTAAGACACAGTTCTTGTAATTTTAACAACAACAAAAATAATCAAGATTACAATATGAGGCCCATCTCATAAGGGCCCTAGGGTTGTTGGATTTTATTTTATTTTTATTTATTTATTTTTGACCCAAACAAAGTTCTCAGGTTTGCATGGGTGTACTGGGTCTGTTAAACTTATGTGTGTTTTTTTTTAACCCTCCTGTGGATATCTTGCAGGGTTATTTTTAAAGCCTGTATTTTTTTTTTTGTACTGGGGATCGAACTCAGGTCCTTATGCTTGCACAGCAGGCAGCCAAACCACTGAGCTAAATCCCTGGCTCTAAAGCCTGTATTTTTTTAGGAACAATATTTTTAGTTTATAAAGATTATCCTTAATTTGACCTGTGATTGGGGGTGGCTGGCTGAGCAAAATTTTATAATGTGAATTCACTGTTTGGTGGGGTGAACTGGGCATGGGGGAGGATGTGGGCAGGATGTGATCTCATCTTGAGTGGGCTTTTTGGACATATATATATATATATATATATATATATATATATATGTAATTATTTGAGTGTCCTGTTCATGTGTTTTATTTTTTCTGAGCTCTGTGGCTGGAAGCCACATGAAGCTTGTATTTTATCTTTGACATCTGTGTGAGTGAGTCTTAGACCATCTCGGCTACGAATGCTGGTCCATGGTGGACCCCACGGTCAAAAGCAGTCTGCGTCTTGGGATGATGTCTTCTAAAAGTACCTTGGTCACCTCTCGTGTCCTTTTTTGTTCGGGTGGGGAAGGCTTTCATCTGTTTTGAGAAGATGCAGGTGAGCCCCAACATGTACTGATGGCAGCTCGAGGCAATTTAGTGACGTCCATAAGTGGGTTTTCATGTGGGGCAGCTCCTGTTTCCTGGGTACTGGGGGCCGGGTAGGCTTTGTCTTGGTTTCTGTGCCAGGTCAGGCATTGTTCACGAACTCCGGTGAGGGCTGCAGTCAGTACATAGGAGTGGCCCTCAGCTTTGTCTCAGTGCTGGTTTTCCTGTGTGTGACCCTTGATGGACTTGTCTTATGAACTTGGGGGCCAACATCTCAGGGATAACCAACTTTTTATTTGAGACCTTTTACCGACCTCCTTTTACATATTTTTTAAGCTTCCTGGGCAAACCAGGCTCTTTCCCTTGATGAATAATTCAGGGCTTCCTGAAGGAGGATTTCTGGACTGAATGGCATGGCCAGGGCACTCCCTTTTC